AAAAGATGATAAGGAAGAAGAAGATAATAACGACGAGTGGGAGATTGAAAGGGGGGAGGAGAAGGACCGGGGGGATGATGAGGATGGGGCGAGCGAGCCGGAGGAACAGGAATCTGAGGAAGAGGATGGGGCCGAGAGGGAATACGGACGATGGACATACGGAGGAGGAGGCGGAGGAGGAGGAGTATATGGAGTGAGGCTGCGGGAGAGTGGAGTGGAGGAGGTAGGGATGAGGAAGAATCGGCTTGAGGGGACACAATCGGATGATAATGATGATAATGATGAGGATGATGAGGATGAGGATGAGGATGAGGAGAATGATGAGGATGAGGATGCTGATAATCATGAGGAGGACGAGGACGACGATTATGAAGATCATGATGAAGATGACGATGACGATCACGATCACGATTGTATGTTGATGGTGGCGATGATGATGATGATGCTTCTGATGATGCTGATGATGATGATGATGATGATGATGATGATGATGATGATGATCATGATGATGATCATGATGATGAAAGAGCGCGCCCGCAGCGCCGGGAAGAAGGAAAGGGGGGGCCAAGCTTCAAGCTACCCCCCCCTCCCTTCCAAAGGGGGGGGAGCTTCCGAAGCTACCCCACCCCCCCTTCCTTCTGTAAGGGTTTCTAAGCTAGGGGGGCCCTGGCTAAATGGTTCGAAGCAATCCCCGGAGCAGAAGGTGAGCCCGGGCTTCCCTTTCAAAGGGGGTGGGGCTTCGGAAGCTACCGCCCCCTCCTTCGTTGTTTGGTCTGGACACAGGGGAGGGCTGCTTCAAGCTACCCCCCTCCACCCTCCTTTGCAAGGGGTGGGGAGGGCTTCCGAAGCTACCCCCCCACCCTCTCTTCCTGGGTCATGGCAAAATGGCTGAATCCCTGCAGACAGGTGCGCGCCGCAGCGCTAGAGAACGCATTGGAGAATAATGTCGACCTCTGGTTCGTTTTCTCTTGTTTTCTTGCTTTCTCGGCCCCTGGTTCGTAGTCTCGTTTTCTCAGGCCCTGATTCCTTTTATCGTTTTCTCGTTTTCTAGGCCCCTGGCTCCTTTTCTTGTTTTCGTGTGTTTGCGGCCCCTGGGTCGCGGTCTCGTTTTCTCTGACCTTGGTTCGTGTTCTCGTTTTCTCGGCCCCTAGGTCGTGGTCTCGTTTTCTCGGACCCTGCTTAGTTGTCTCGTTTTCTCGTCTTTTCGGCCCCTGGGTCGTGGTTTAGTTTTCTCAGGCGCTGGTTAGTATTCTCGGTTTCTTGTTGTGTCGGCCCCCGGGTGGTGGTCTCGTTTTCTCTGACCTTGTTTCGTTTTCTCGTTTCCTTGTTTTCTCGGCTCCTGGGTCGTGTTCTCGTTTTCTCGAACAGAGTGTTTTCTCGTGATCTCGGCCCTTGGGTCGTGGTTTCGTCAGACCCTGGTTCGTTTTCTTGTTTTCTCTGCCCCTGCGTCGTGGGTCGTTTTCGCGTTTTCTCGTTTCCTCGGCCCCTGGGTCGTGTTCCCTTGTTCTCGGGGCCTGATTCGTTTTCTCGTTTTTTGTTTTCAAGGCCCCTGGGTCGTGGTCTCGTTTTCTCGGACCCTGGTTCGTTTTCTCGTTTTCTTGTTTTCTCGGCCCCTGGTTCGTAGTCTCGTTTTCTCGGGCTCTGATTCCTTTATTGTTTTCTCGTTTTCTCGGCCCGTGGGTCGTGGTCGTGTTTTCTCGGACCCTGGTTCGTTTTCGCTTTTTCTGTGCCCTTGGGTCGTGGTCTCGTCTGCTCGGACGTTGGTTTGTTTTCTCGTCTTCTCGTGTTCTCGGCCCCCGGGTCGTGGTCTCGTTTTCTCGGACCCTGCTTAGTGTTCTCGTTGTCTCGTTTTCTCGGCCCTTGGGTCTTGGTCGTGTTTTCTCGGGCCCTGGCCCGCGCTCCGGCCGCCTGAGGCCCCGCCCGCCTGTGCCCGCCTGTGCCTGTGCGTAGCCCGCCTAGCCTTTACCGGAAGAGGTTCGCTCTCGCCCCGCAGACCAAAAGAAAACAAAGTTTTCTTGGGCCCTGGTTCGTGGTCTCGTTTTCTCTGACCCTGGGTCGTGGTCTCGTTTTCTCGGCCCCTGGATCGTGGTCCCGTTTTCTCGGACACTGGCTATGTTTCTCGTGCTCTCCGCTGCTCGGCCCCTGGGTTGTGGTTTTGTTTTCTCGTTTTCTCGTTTTCTCGGCTCCTGGGTCGTGACATCGTTTTTTCAGACGCTGGTTTGTTTTCTCGTTTTCTCGGCCCCTGGGTCGTAGTCTCGTTTTCTCGGACCCTGGTTCGTTTCGCGTTTTCTGGTTTTCTCGGCCCCTGGGTCGTGGTCTCGTCTGCTCGGACTTTGGTTAGTTTTCTCGTTTTCTCGTGCTCTCGGGCCCTGGATGTTTGTCTCGTTTCCTCGGGCGCTGGTTCGTTGTTTTGTATTCTCGTTTCCTCGGCCACTGTGTCGTGGTCTGGGTTTCTCTGACCCTGACTGGTTTTCTTGTTGTCTTGTCGTCTCGTCACCTGGGTCGTGGTCTTGTTTTTTGTGACCCTGGTTCGTTTTCTCTTTTTCTTGTTTTCTCTGCTCCTGGGTCGTGGTCCAGTTTTCTCTGACCCTGGTTTGTTTTTTTGTTTTCGTGGTTTCTCTGCCCCTTGGTCGTGGTCTCGTTTTCTCGGACCCCGTTTCGTTTTCTCGTTGTCTCGTTTTCTCTGCCCCTGGGTCGTGGTTTTGTTTTCTCTGACCCTGGTTCGTTTTCTCGTATTCTCTCCCCTGGGTCGTGGTCTCGTTTTCTCTGACCCTGGTTCGTGTTCTCGTTTTCTTGTTTTCTCGGTCCCTGGTTCGTAGTCTCGTTTTCTCGGACGCTTGTTTGTTTTCCTGTTTTCTCGTTTTCTCGGCCCTTGGGTCTTGGTCGTGTTTTCTCGGATCGATGCTCGCGTTTTCTCGGCCTGGGTCGTGGTCTCGTTTGGTCGGACCTTGGTTCGTTTTCTCGTTTTCTCGTATTCGCCGCCCCTGGGTCGTTATCTCGTTTTCTCGGCCGCTGGGTTTTTGTCTTGTTTTCTTGGGCCCTGGTTCCGTTTCTTGTTTTCTCGGCCTTTGGGTCGTATTTTCGCTTTCTCGGGCCCTGGTTCGTTTTCTCGTTGTCTCGTTTTCTCGGCCCCTGGGTCGTGGTTTCGTTTTCTCGGGCACTGGCTTGTTTTCTCGTTGTCGCCTTTTGTCGGCCCCTGGGTCGTGGTCTCGTTTCCTCTGACCCTGGTTCGATTTTGCGTTTTCTCTGCCCCTGGGTCGTGGTCTCGTTTCCTCTGGCCCTGGGTCGTCGTCGTCGTCGTCGTCGGTCGTCGGTCGTGCGTCATCCGTCGTCCGTCGCCGTCTTTGCATGACCTCGTCCTCGTCGTAACGACCACGACGAGGTCACACGAAGACGGCGACAATGACGGCGACGGCGGCGACGACGACGAGGACGACGACGGCGTCGTACGAAGACGTCGAGCGACGGCGGCGGCAACGAAGACGGCGACGGGGGAGGATCCTCTGGCAGGGGGAGTTCAAGGGAGGGGGGTGGTAGCTCAGCCGCCCCTCCCCTTTTGGAAAGGAGGGGAGGGGAGGGGAGCTTCCGGCAGGGGGGAGAAAAATAAAGGGAAGGCGGGGGGGGGGGCTTCCGGCAGAGGCGGGTCAAAGGAGGGGGGGGACGAACGAACAACACACACCCATACCCATAAGGGCGGTCGTTGGGAGGAGGACTCGCTATGGGTATGGGTGCGGGTTGTCATTGTCGGACCCTGGGGAACGCTCCCGTTCGAGCGGGGACCCCCATCCGACAACACGTACCCATAGCCCTCTCCGGACCCCCCTATGGGTATGGGTGTGTGTTGTTGGTTCGTCAGGGGGGGTGAATAAGCTCCCCTCCCCTTTCGTAAGGGAGGGAGGGGGGGTAGCTTCCCGGGTGCCGAGAGGGCGGGAGGGGGGGGGCTGCTAAGCCTCCTCCCCACCCTGGAACCAAAGGGGAGGGGGGTAGCTTCTGACAGAGGGGGGTCAAGGGAAGGGAGGGGGTAGCCAAGCCCCCCCCCCCTCCTTTTGAAAGGGGGTAGGGGAGAGGTAGCTTCGGAGTGGCGAAAGGGGGGGATGGGGGGGGTAGCTTCAGGGGGGAGGCGAAAAAGGGGGGGAGGGGGGGGGAGCTTCCAGCAGGGGAGGTGGAAGGGAGGGGGGGTAACCAAGGGGCGACCCCCCTCCCCCTTTGCTCCGGCGCTATGGGCGCGCTCTCTCCTAAGATGGTGATGTTGATGATGATGATGATGATGATGATGATGATGATGATGATGATGATGATGATGATGATGATGATGATGATGATGATGATGATGATGATGGTGATGGTGATGGTGATGGTGATGGTGATAATGATGATGATGATGATGATGATGATGATGATGATGATGATGATGATGATGATGATGATGATGATGATGATGCTGGTGGTGATAATGATGAGGATGATGATGATGATGATGGTGGTGATGATGATGAGGATGATGATCATGCTGATGATAAGGATGATGATTATGATGATGATGGTGATGGTGATGATGCTCATGATGATGACGATGTTGATGATTGGCGATGATAAGATTGATGATGATGCTGGTGGTGATAATGATGATGTTGGTACTGATGGTCATGATTATGATGATGCTAGAGAAGCTTGTGATGCTGATGTTGCTGAAGATGTTGATGCTGATGGTGACGATGAAGATGATGATGAGGAGACGGTGGAGGAGGAGGAGGAGGAGGAGGAGGAAGAGAAGAGGAGGAGGCGGAAGGGAGGAGGAGGAGGAGGAGGTGGAGGAGGAGGACAATAAGGATTATGAGGAGGAGTTTCGAGGACCAGGGGGGGGGGCTAGCGCAGTCGGAGGGTTATGGGGACGGGGGGGATAACAATGACCATGAAGAGGGGGAGGAAGCGGATGAGACGGAGGAGGGGCCGGATGTTTGCCAGAGGAGAGGCCGTCGGTCTTTGCTTGTCGGGCCCAGGTCATGCTGGGGTTCGGCTTGCTGATGAGCAACAGCATCGCTGTTGTGGCGCTCACGCCCCTCGAGCGCATGCTGGGCGTCGTGCGCGGGCACTGTAAGCAGATCTTCAGATTCGCCGCGGGCATCCAGAACGACACCCCGGACGACGACGACGACGAGGACAACGAGTTCCTGCTGTTGGAGGAGCTCGCGCCCTCCCAGGGTGGGGCAGGCGAGGAGACAGCGCGAAAGGGGATGGGACGGAGAGGGTGTTTAGAGGGGGCAAGGACTCCTTCTCGTCCTCGTCGTCTTCCTCCTCCTCCTCCTCCCTCCTTCCTTTCGTTTCCTCTTCCTCGTCTTCCTTCCCGTCGGGGGGGGGGGAATCGCCGAGACTTCCCCTGACCCCACTCCCCGCTGGAGAGGCGCATCCCCAGGCAAGGAGGGGGCGGATGATGATGAGGACTCTGTGAGCAAGAGGGTCCACGCAGTCTGTCGGGCTCTTGTTCCTTGGGTCCCGACTATGCACTGCCCTTTTGAGACACGGATGGATTCGCGCGAACACCAAATCGATTCTGAAAGCTCAAGGAGCTAGGTTTGGAAGTCTGTGGGTCTGTGGGGCAAGGGCCTTGGGCCTGACTGTGGGCATATTAAGCTTCAGCTTGCCTTGCCCCAGTCGGAATCGTTTGCCCTGCGATAATTCAGTAACGCGTGCAAGAAGGGTACCGCCGTCTCGGTGAATGGAGTCTACGCGCGACACTTCTCTTTTGCCAATGTTGCAGCCCTGGCGGCGATGCCTGGCCGCATTTTCGTTGTTGAGCCGACTGGCCGTTTGACTCCTTAGACGTTTGTGGCTCTCTTGGTTTTGCTCGGCAAGGCGGTTTTTCGTCCGATCGGTGATTTTGTTTCGGTTTACCGCCATTGGGGGCGGGCTCGCAGGCCTCTGGCTCCCCAGTGGGAGCTCGACAACCCAATGGCTTACTGGGCTGCTGGGGCTCACGGCGGGGCGGCCGATGTGGTTTGGAGGCAGGCCTTCAAAGCTGAGGCAGGTTTTATTACCAAGCATGTGTCGGGGTTCCTCTTCTGGGATGTGAAGAGGTACTACGAGAGTTCCTCCTGTTCTTCTCTGGAGCACCAGTGCAATGGGCACAGCCCCACCTCGTGCACCACCCGTGTCTGTCCGGCGCCCGACAGGTCGACCAGATGCTTTTCACCTGGGGGATCCTGGACGGACCCGTCTGGGTCCAGTGCGGTGTCGTCGCTGGATGTTCTAATTGGAGCGTTCGCCATGAAGACCCTCAACCCCATGCCTTTCCAAGTTGGCACGGGCTTCGACGCCTGTGCCGGTGACACCGGCCTTCCTCGAACTGGAGCGGCTCCAGATCTGGCGCGAGGCGTAGTGAATAGTGCTGAGGGGCTCCTTCACGCTATCACTTCTGTGTTGGGATGTCTTCTGGCCCTGAAGAACAAGATTGGCCTTGGCAGCAGCAGGTAGGTGGCGCAGCAGCTGGAGCAGGAGCTCGGCGTGTTGGCAGGCAACGACATCGCCACCACCCCTGTGGTCAACGTAGGTGTCGATTTCACAGCTGGTCGGGCTCTGCGTGCCAGAGGTGCAGGCAAGGGTCGAACCAGCAAGTTCAAAGAGAGACAGGCGCTTTTGGATAGGAAAGCGTGGAGGGTGCATAAGCATCAAGAGGTCCTGGGTCGAAGAGCCGTGCGTATTTTCGCTTCTTCGTTTCTGGTCATCTGGCTAGCGGTTCGTATGGGGCTGAGATTTTCGGGGTTCGCGATACGGACACTAGTTCAAATCCCAAGGCATGTCCACTATTGCGCGTAAGTCTCAGCACGCGTCGTTCACCATCACTTCCCTACTTGAAGGGGACCCCCCCTGCCAGCGTTAGCATGGCCCCTCTTGCTCGGTGCTCGAAGAGGCTGTGGTTGGTTCAGATTCGGCAGGTCGAGGGCTTTCTGTCTTTTGCCCACGCGCAAAGCGCGCGGACCGCGGTTTTTTTCTCAGGATGACTGCTCGTGAGCCAAAGCAGCTACTCGCGTATAAACTGTGACAGGCGTGGATCTACTATGACCCGGAACGTGTTGATGGATTTTGGCCAGAAGCTCAACCTCCGAACCCTTTCCTCTGAGCTCGTGGGGAAGCTAGCTAGAGCTGCGACCCTTTCCTCTGAGCTCGTGGGGAAGCTAGCTAGAGCTGCGGTTGTACAAAGCTTTAAGAAGGATTGTGATACCAAACTTGGGTTGGATCATAGGCTTTGTTGGGAGATAGTTGGAAAGAGCTCCATTGCAAAAGGCTTCCTAGAGGGACAAGTCCACCATCAGGGCGTCGGCCAGCAACGCCATTTGGACGGCCAGTGCTGCCGTCAACGCTGGATACGACGTACCCACTGTGTGTCAGCTGCGCGGTCTGCACAACGACATCCTCTGACATCGGATTTGGCGATGACCTGCGTGTGACTCGGAGGAAGGAGATCGACCTCGACACAAAGTGCCCTGACTAGGAGCACCTTCGGTGCATGCACGTGTCGTTCAGACATCAATAAAGGACGATGCCCAGACCTTGCCCGGATGGAGCTGTGCACGTTGCTTGCTCTGTGGAGCACGGCAGGTTTGCGCCGCGCTGCCGCGGCAGTGGCCCGGGCGCGGGCGTTCGAGGCTGAAGGCCGCCAGTGGCCCGGATCCGGCCGACATCTCACGGTCTGCTCTATCCTCCTCCTCCTCCTCCTCCTCCTCCTCCTCCTCCTCCTCCGGATCGGTTCAGGTTGAACCACCCACGCGTCGACTAGACGTAAGAGTGACCTTTCGCCGGAGTGGCCTTTGGTGCGGGCGCAGATGGGTCCCCGGATGGCTGGAAGCGAAGCAGGAGCAGCGGCTTGCGCGCCCAGGTTTGGTCCCCCGCGGCCCCCAAAAAGTCGCGCAGCAAAGGTCACTCTTACCCAGGGTCACTCCTGCGTGTAGCCGACACGCGGTGTTTCCGCCACAAGAATCAAAACACAGACACCCATCCAATGCATTGCTTCTGGGCCCCAGGGGAGGATGGCAGTGTATAAATCACTCTGAGAGTCATACGCCGCCAACATCCCTGAAGGTACATGCAAAGTTCGTTGGCGGACGTCTGTGTATGTATTTGTCGTGGCTCAGTGTCAGAGACCAGCGCCGACATCATAGCGACGCGAACCTGCCGTATAGGTCATACTGCCTGGCGATGCTGCCCTCTGCTCGCCCGCGGGCCTCGGCCTCTAGGGGCACGCTGCTCTTTCCGGTCGGTGGCTGCCTTTGGCATCCCGTGGCCGAGCCTTCTCGGAGTGGCTGGCGCTTGGCCACGATCGACAAATTTCGGAGGACGCGTAAGGGGGGGGCGAGAAAGGGGGGCGCAGCGAGGGCTGCCGAAAAGAAGCCCTTCCGGGCCCAGAAGGGGGCCGCGAAGACCCGAAAAGAGCACCCTTCTCTCCACCCCCCCCATGTGTCGCCCCCCCCCCCCCCCCTCCCCCTACTTCGCGCCCAACAGGGGCCACGCTCACGCGAGGCGTTCCAGAACAGGCCTCGCCTTCGAGGATCGAACGAGCTGCCAGCTCTTCCTCGGCGGGAGTGCGGCGGAAGCCGGCGAAAGTGAAGCGAGGCCGCCTCCGCTAGGGGAGGCCAGCGGAAGGTTGGCGGAAAGCGGCGGACTTGAAGGATGCGCCCCCAAGAGGTGGCAGCATTTTTGAGTTCAGGGTTTCCGGAATGGGGCATTGTGAAGTCACGGCCCCTATTTGGGCCCCTCACCCCAGACCCCTCAGACTGCGGAGTTTGGGGCGTTTGGGGGCCTGTATTTGTCTCTCGGGTCGGATTCGCTCTTGTACAGTGGCTGCTGTAAGAATACTGTGGGCCCGTTTTTTCAGGGTCCTGCCAGGTTCACTTCACCAAAGCTTCATTATTCTGGCCTGTTGATCCATGGGGCTGCTGGTGCGGGGAGCCACATAGGCACCCTCAACGAAGCTGACGCACGTAATAACCTTGCTGAGCAAGGGATTTCGGAGCACGAGCGTTTCATTTGGTGTTTTTTCGCCGAAGCTGTTGCCAAGCGAGCTGCTCGCTGGCACGAGCCCTTTGCAAAAAGTGATTTAGATCAGGTGGACCAAAAAGTCAATGCTGTTCGTGTGGTTATGGACCTACAAACGGCCCTACTCTCGTGTGGAGTTCCGTGTGTTGGAGCGTCCTCCTCCTCCTTCTTTTCCTCTCGGGCCAACATGTATGGCGCCTTACGTTGCAGAATCTGCCTTAAAGGTTCCACGGGCACCTTTTGTCATGATAGGGGGCTCCTGTCGGGGCCGCTCTGGACTTGACTCTGTAGTTTGAGATCGGCTCCACCACCGAGGCGTTGCCCTCGATTGTAGCGAGGACTCCCATATCTTTCTCTTCTTGCGCTGCCGTTCTTATTCGTCTGGGGCCCAGGTTCAGGGTCTGCGCCAGCCTTTCAAGTCTCCGACGGTCACTGGCAACAAGAGCTGGCGGAATATCGGGCTAGGTAAACATCCCGATAATTCGGAGGTGCTCCTCGATTTGGGCCTGGTCAAGCCTTGAGTGTGTGTTCTGGAAGCAAACTAGCCTCAAAAACTAAATTCAACACACTCTAATAATACTCTGATTCAACTCTGGCCCAGAACTCTGTTTCATTGCTGATTTTCTCGAAACTCTGATTTAACCCTGGTCTGAACTCCGATTGAACTCTGATTCGGCCCTGATTTAAGAGAGGCTTGACTCAAGCCTCTCTTGCTCTCGACGTGGCGGGTCTCTGTTCGGAGGCTTTCCTCGTGGAGCCCCCCCCCGGGCACCTGTGCGCGCAGCTCTGCCGCGGAGCGTCTTCTTCGCGCCCGCGCCCGTGCTCTCTCTCTCTCTCTCTCTCTCTTTCCAGCTGTCGGCACAGCTGCGTGCGCACCTGTCGGAGGTCGATAGACCTCCTACCCTGACACGTCGATTAAGGATTTGGCCGTTTTCGGCTCGCGAGAGGGCGTCGCGGCCGTCATTTTTGCGGGTCCAGGTCCGTCGGTTTCGGTCCCAGGCCGCTTTCACTAAGGGGAGGTTTACTAAAGGGAGGTTTGTCCACCCCCGAACCTGGGTCGTGCTCGGGTTGCGCGGTGGCCATCCCGTCGCGGGAGTGCGGTCACCCTCTGTCAGGATCGCCCACGGAGCTGCTTCCCGAGCTGTTGTGCTCTCGCACAGCAGCTGTGACGCGCTGGTCGCCTCGCCAGTGGTGGCTTCAACTTGAGGTCGCAGCTGCTGACACAATGCATAAGGCTGACGAGGCGGCGGAGTAGTAGAAGGAGGAGTAGAAGGAGGAGGAGTAGAAGGAAGAGGAGGAAGAGGAGGAGAAGGATATGGAGAGGGGAGGAGAACCGAGCCGGGCGGCTGAACAGGGGGTGGGGAGAAGGAGGAGGAAGAGGAGGACGAGGAGGAGGAGAAGGAGGAGGAGGAGGAGGAGGAGAAGGAGGAGGAGGAGGAGGAGGAGAGGAGGTTGAGGGGGAGGAGGAAGAGGAGGAGGAGGTGGAGGAGGAGGAGAGGAGGAATAGGAGGAGGAGGAGAAGGAGGAGGATGATGATGAGGAGGAGGAGGACGACGACGACGACGAAGAGGACGAAGAGGACGAAGAGGACGAGGAACAGGAATCGGAGAAAGAGGAGGGGGCGGAGAGGGAATACGGACGATGGACATACGGAGGAGGAGGAGGAGGAGGAGAAGGAGGAGGAGGAGGAGGACTTCGGGCCCAGTGGTGGGCCAGACACCATGCGAAGCGCGCTGGTGTCTGGGTAAAAGAAAGGGGGAACGCCGGCCCGGGGGCCAGGGGTAGATCAGCCTACCTCTGTCCGTCTCCCTGCACTCTACGTGGGCCGCGCGTTCCGCCTGGACGGAAGCAGAAAGCGCGGGCCAGACGGTGTTTGGGGTGCCCCCTGCGCTTCCCGTCAGCCGCGATGTAACGCGGCTGGCCGGGGCCAGGGCGCACCCCCGACCTTCCCGCCGGCCCCGCGCCTTCGCGCTTGGCGGAGGCCCCAGAAAAGGGTGCGCAGCCCCCAGCTGGCGTCCAGCGCTCTCCTCGCATGTCTCGCGCCACGGGCTGTCTCATGGGCGAGCTGCGGGGGGCGCTGAGTCGCTGGCAAACCGCTGGGTCCCGATTTCTCTCTCTTTCTCTCTCTCTCTCTCTCTCTCTCTCTCTCTCTCTATATATATATATATATATATATATATATATATATAGTATCTCCATGGGGGGTGAGCGTCCGAAGCGTCCCGGAGGGCCCCTGGGACCGCCAGGAACAGTTCGAGACCGCCCAAGACGGCCCGCGAGCGCTCCAAGACGCGCATAGATAGCCTCAGGAATGGCCAGGAAGGCCCGAAGACGTTCCAAGAGAGCTCCATGAGGCTCCGAAGGCATCCCAAGAGGCCTCCCAAGAGAGCGCCGACAAGCCAAAATCGTTGATGTGTATTGTTCTTTTCTAGGTTTTTGGCCTTCTCGTTTTTTCTGGGTTCCGACGCTCCAAGACCGTCCAAGAGTCTCCCAAAACCGCTCCAAGACGGCCGAAGAGGCCCCCAAGACCGCCCCAAGACGGCCCAAGAGACCCCCCAAATCTTCCCAAGACGGCCCAGGAGAGCCTCAAGATGGCCCAGGAGCCGCCCAAGACGGTTCCAGGAGAGCCCCGACAGGGTTTCAAGACTGCCTAAGCGAGCCCAGTGGGCTCCAAGAGGGCCCCGCGAGGCCCCAAGAGGCCCCAAAGAGGCCCCCAAGAGCCTCCCCAGAGGCCCCAAAGAGGCCCCCAAGAGGCCCCCAATATTCCCAAAAATGGCCTTGAGCGCGCCCCAAGACGCCTCCAGGAGAGCCCAACAGGCCTCCGAGAGGCCCCAAGAGGACCACTGGAGGCCCTCAGGAGGTCGTCCCCATCATGTTCCCGGAAGGCGGTCCGGGAACATGATTCCGCGCCTTGGAGGAGTATTCTGTGCCTTCCGAGGCGACGACGTACGATTCATATTCTTGAACGCTTTCCGGGAGCATGATTTCTCACCGTTTCGGAACGCTTTCCTACTGCTGCGGTGCTCTGGGGGGAAGGGACGGGGGTCCGGGAACATGATCGGGAGGTTAGGGAACGAGGGTTTGGAGAGGAGCAGAAATTAGAAAGAGCGTGTTCTACCGCTGCTGGCGGAAAACCGGGGGGGGTCACTACCGGTTCGAACCCCTTCCCCCCCCCCCCCCCCTCGGAAAACCGGGGGGGGGTCACTACCGGTTCGAACCCCTCCCCCCCCCCCCCTGCTCATCATGAAAAGGGGGGGGGTCACTACCGGTTCGAACCCCCCCCCCCCTCTCGAAAACCAAGCGGGGGTGCGGACAGAGGTGGGGACGGTGTTGGTGGGACAGTGGTGAGGGGATAGCGGGACAGTGGTGGGGACAGTGGGACAGTGGGACAGTGGTGGGGACGGTAGTGGTGGGGACAGTGGTGGGGACAATGGTGGGAACAGGGGGGGACAGTGGACAGTGGTGGTGACGGTGGTGGTGGGGACAGTGGTGTGGGGACAATGGGAATGAGGTGGAAACAGTGGGACAGTGGAGGGTACAATGGTGGTGGGGACAGTGGTGAAGGCGGTGGCGAGGACGGCGGTGGGACAATGGGACAGAGGTACAGTGGGGACAGTGGTGGGGACAGTGGGGACAGTGGTGGGAACAGTGGGACAGCTCAGTGGGACAGCGGAGGAGTCAGTGGGACAGTGGGGACAGTGGGGATAGTCGGGCAGTGGTTGGGGCCGTGGAGACAGTGGGGAGAGTGGAACCGTGGTGGGAACAGTTCTGGGGACAGCGGGGACAGTGCGACAGTGGTGGGGCCACTGGTGGGGACAGTAGGGGCGGTGGTGGAACCAGTGGGGACAGCGGTGGTGAGGACAGTGGTGCTGGGAACACCAGTGGGGGATGTGATGCGGACGGTGGTGGGGACCGGGAGTCGTTTGCTGGCGGTGAGTAAGGGGGGGGGGGGGTTCGAACCGGTAGTGACCCCCCCCGGTTTTCCGGATCCGGAGGGGGGGGGGGGGGGAGGGGTTCGAACCGGTAGTGACCCCCCCCGGTTTTCGAGGGGGGGGGGGGGGGGGAGGGGTTAGGGGAGGGGGGGGTTTTGCCGGGGGAGAGGGGGGGGGGGGGGGGGGGAGGGGTTCCAGCAGGGACGGGGGGGATTTTCGGAGGGGGGGGGGGGCGACCCCCGGGTTCCGGAGGAAAAGGTTGGCAATTTTCCACAGTAAAGCGGCGGTGGATCACGCTCTCTCAGAAATTAGGACAGACGGACGGGGCCCGCAAGACGGTTCCGATACGGCCCAAAACGTCATGGAGAGAGCCTCGATACGGCCCAGCACTACGCCAGAGAGATCCCCCCCCCAGAGCGGTCCGGGAACATGATGTCCTGCATTGGAGCGGTAGCGACTGGGACACAGCGGCGTCGTCGCCGACGTATTCGTCGCCGTCGCCCTCATCGCCATCGTCGTTGCGTCTTCCGTTGCCCTGGTCAACACCGCGGGGATTCCTGGGATTTATTTTGGACCCCTGGGACCTCCAGTCCTGGGGCCTCCTGGGATACATTTCGTCCTCCTGGGGCCTCATGGGGCCTATCATCCTCTTCGGGTCGTCCTCCCCCGGTCCTCCTCAGATACTCCTCCGATCCTGTTCCGAGCGTCCTCCTCCGATCATCGTTCGCCGATCCTCTTTTCACCTTCCCCTCCACCTCTTTTCCCTTGTTAGTGCACTTCCAGCGATTCTTCGACGGCGCCCACGAAGCTGAGCGCGAGGACCAGATATATAATACTAAATAATACTAATTCTATACAATATTAATAATATTAAGAAGAAGAAGAAGAAGAAGAAGAAGAAGAAGAAGAAGAAGAAGAAGAAGAAGAAGAAGAAGAATACAACACATTCATATCTACATATAACGCCGCACCGGGCCCGGGGGCCCCGGGGCCGCAGCCCCGACCGCAAATGGGGGGGCGTCGGGCCCTGCCCGCTCACCGGCGGGCTTCAGGTCGGCCCCCGGAGCGCCCAGACGGCCATCCAGGCGGCCCCAGGCCGCCCACAGCCACCCTGAAGACAACCTCCAGCGGCCTCCGGCGGCTCAAAAGGCGTCTCGAACCGCCCCAGACCGCCCCAGACGCCTCCAAGACGCTCGAAGAGCCCTCCAAGAGATCCCCCCAGACGGCCCCGGGAAGCAAAATAGCCCCGCTCCCTTCGTAGAGCGTACGTTTTTACCATGTTCGATTTTTTGGCCTTCGTACCGTCTTTTACGACCTCCGATTCTCCACAGACCGCCCCAAGCCGGCCCACGAAGCCCACAAGAGAGCCCCAAGACGGCCCCAGAGGGGCCCCGGACAGTCCAAGAGGCGCCCAGGACGGTCCAAACGCGTTCCCGAAGGGCTTCAAGAGGGGCCCAAAACGGGACACCCAACTGAACCTTCCAGCCCCCCCGCCCCAGGAGGCCCCCAAGAGGCCCCTAAGAGACTCCCAAGAGGCCCAAAGAGGCCCCCAAGACGCCCGCGGCAGGCCCCCAAGGGCCTCCAGAGGCCCCCCCAAGAGGCTTCCAAGAGGCCCCCCGAGGTTCCCAGGAAGCCCCCAGGAGACCCCAAAGAGGGCCCCAACGGGTTTCTGAGAGGCTTCCCCAGAAACCTTCATGTACGTCTACATTCGCCCTCCGGTCCAAAAACCTGAGACCGTTCCTGGGACGCCGCCTGATTGGCACAGGTTTTCTTTGTCTCTGTCAATGGGGGGAGCGGCAGCGACCCTTGTCGCTGGGGCCGGGGGAGCAGGCCCAGGGCCCGAAAATTTGGCGAGAAGGGCTTGCACGAACGGATTTTTAGAGACCACCTGCCCGTGGAACTGGCGACGCCGGGTGGCTTCATAGTTTCATAGCGCCTGGCGGCGGCAGCGTCGGCGCTTACTTTTCCTGCCCATGCACCTCTCTCTTCGGGGCCAGGGCCCGCTGTTGGGGGCCGCCAAACAGGTCCCAGGCCGATCAGACAGCCGTCCCGACGGACCAAGATTGCCCCGAGCTGCCCTGAAGACGGCTTCCAGAGGTTCCAGACGGCCCAAGAAGGTTCAAACAGCAGCCCGACGAGTGTTCCGAGAGGCCACATTTAGATACTTTCCTTTAGTTGTTTGACGGATTTCGGGCTTCCAACGCTCCCAGACGGGTCAAGAGGTTCCCCAGACCGCCGTCAAGGCGGCTCTAGAGGGGAGGCGTCCACGACGATCCAAGACCAATCCAAGAGGACCCGCAAGAGTGCTCCATCCCCTCAGGAAAACTTGCATTTGTTTGCATATTCGTTTTTTTTATGAAAAAAGTCAAAGACAACCCCAGAGGTCTCCCAAAACGCCCACAGACTGCCCATGAGGCTCTCAAGAGTGCCCCTAGACGGCTCAAGAGGGCCCCAAGATGGACCAAGAAAACCCGAAGACGGCCCAAGAGGGCCTCAGGATGGTGGGGTAATACCAGCTGCTATGTGGAACCCTCTGCCAAAAAATGACCCTCGAGGCCGCCGATAGGTGCCCAACAGGGCAGGCCGAAAGAGGCCCCTGGGAGGCCCAAAAGCAAACACAAAGAGGCCCCCAAGAGATCCCAGGATGACTCCGGGAAGCCTCCAGGAGACTCCGAAGAGGCTCCAACTGGGCCCCGAGAGACTTCGAAAGAGACCTGGGCCCCAAGATGCCCAAACATGGTTGGTATGCTATCACAGCGTGAGGAGACAACACGAAAACGGTCTGGGCACGTCCCAGCAGGACCCGAGACGGCTCAAGAGAGTTTTTGTTTCTTCCATATGTCTTTCTGCCTTCTGTCTGTCTTTCCTCGTCCCGCAGGCACGTGCTCCGCTAGCCGGCGTGACAGCGCGCGCATGCCGTTTCAAGGCGGTTTTCTCTCCGTGTTCCGTTACCGCTCCGTCGTCCTGCACATGCTCCGCCAGTTGGCGTGTCAGCGCGTGCATTTTATAGCACGGCTGTGTTCCTCCTTCGTCCGTTTTTCTTCGATCTTCCTGCAAGTGCTCCACCACCCGGCGTGACAGCGCGTGCATTGTGTGTTAAGGCAGTTTGTTCTCCGTCCTCTGGATTTCTTCTGCACGTGCTCCGCCAGCTGGCGTGGCAGCGCGTGCATTCTATTTCAGGGCAGTTGTCGTCCCGTCCTCCGTCATTCCTCGTCCCTCCCGCACATGTTCAGCAAGACAAGACAAGAACATGTGACGACATCCAGAGACCAGCAAACTACGGCCTCGACATTTCACCGTAAGGCCAGTCAATGCCCCAAGCCTGTTCAGCCATCTCCTCGACGAGCCCACAAGCCAAGACCTGCGTGTCGTGACAACGAAGAGGCAACCCTGGACGGCGCCATCGGGGCCACAAACACCTGCCCCCCCCACAAGAGCGCCTGAAAAGCCCAAAAGCCAGCCCAAGGGAGCCCTGCGACATCCCATGACCGGCC